TATACGCCTGTGACACATAGTTATAGAATGAATATACTATGGAATTTCCAAATCTTCACAGACAGGAAAATTGATGTAGATAGAAAAGATATTGTGATAAACGATTCAAAAAGAAAACTATTTAGTACGCACAATTCCGTCAAGCTTATTTTTTTAACTTCTCCGTTTTAAATTTTCTGACGGGATACATGCTTTAATTCCACCATTTCAAAACATTTCAAGCTAAGACTCGCTATGTCATGTACACAGCAAATAACTACCCTCATCCCTTTCGTGTTCCATTTCAAGGTCCAATATACTTTGTGGAATAGACACCCGACTAGATGCTTCCTCCATCACTAAAAACTTAAACACTTCACTCTCAGGGTCAACGGTTTCTATCCGACATATCTTCAAAATCTACAATCTATAAGTCCGTAAAACACCCCCATTCTGATATCGTGCATATTTAGTAGCTCTTGGACCATGTATAATGCAAAAAATAGCGTAAAAATAACGTAAATGTATACCAATTTAATATATAGGAAAAAATAGCAATAAATATATACCGATTTTAAAAAATAGCGTAAAAAAAGCGTAAATGTATACCAATTGAAAAAATAGCGTAAATGTATACCAATTTAGAAAAATAGCCTAAAAATAGCGTAAATGTATATCAGTTTAAAAAATAGCGTAAAAGTATACCAATTTTAAAAAAATAACATAAATGTATACCTATTTTAAACAAAATAGCGTAAAAATAGCGTAAATGTATTCCAGTTTAAAAAATAGCAAAAAACTAGCATAAAAATATACCAATTTTAAATAAATAGCGTAAATGTATACCAATTTAAAAAAAAAACACATAAAAATAGCGTAAATCTGTACTAATTTTTTAAAAAGCGTAAAAATAGGGCAAATGTATACCAATTTTTAAAAAATAGCGAAAAAATAGTGTAAATATATACCAATTGATAAAAGGAAAGTAATTTCAACAAGGGGAGGATCAATTTAAATGACATGCGAGAAAACGATAATAAAAGTAAATAATGTAGTAGCTAGATCAAGCTAGAAGGATTGCTTTGGGGGGTGGGAGCAGGTAGAAATTTTGTGCGAGAAGTTCGATGTGTTCATGCCTTCCATTTCAACATTCCAAATTTGGACCCGGCTGATAAAACATTTAGTTGATCTTGCCACCAATATGACCATCATCGTTTTTTTTTATCAAAAATACACGCAAATACTGGGTGAGTAGGAGAGAACTGCTAAATTTGTGTATATAGTATATATATATATATATATTATATATATATATATATATATATATATATATATATATATATATATATATATATATATATATATATTCGAAATTATTCATAGAATATTCTGTACGATGATATGTACACATTGCTAAGGAATTTCGATAAGACAAAAAACAAAACATAAAAATCATATAAAAATATCATATATATATATATATATATATATATATATATATATATATATGTATGTATGTATGTATGTATGTATGTATGTATAGCACATAAATGTTCAATTGTATACCCAGATATACAGAGACGTATATGTGGAGATAATTTCCATACTTCTATACTACGATTTTAGAAGTATTCATTCATCGAACAGAATGAATGGTGGATGTCAGTCTCTTTCTGTCTGTCTATCTCTCTCTTATTCTCTCTCTCCGCCTGTGTGGTGGGTGTGGTCGATAAAGCCCAAGGTGCGTCGTGATAAGAGTGCATTTCGTCAATATTAATGGCTGCGGGAATTCTTTGACGATATTCGCTGTTAATTCTTCAAGAAGACGAACTCTCACGCGCAGGGCGGGAAAACGTAGCTAGCGACCTCTGTATTCGCCGATAGCAGCCGACGTTCGAGTTTCGATAAAGGGTAAAAGTCAAGTGTCGAATTTCATGAGATTTATGTCTCTAATGCTAAGAAGGCTTTATAAAGCTATACGGTAAAAATTAAAACAAAGGCAACCTACATAGTCAGTTATGTGCCATGCGTGACACAAGCTTAGGCGATCATGTATATTTCGATACATGACTGACGAGGCCGATTGTTTCCCTGCGGCAGGTTGCCATTTCTTTCTGCGGTAGACCAGTTACCATCCAAGGCTATAGAACCCGGTCTGTACTGCCATTATGGGGAAAAGAAGAGGAATCTTACCTTCCACAAGGTTATTAGCACGTAAGTTATGTGCCATGCGTGTTACTCAATTAGGCGATTATGTATCTTTTGATACATGACTGACGAGGCAGATTTTTTTTTATTTTTCCTAGAATATGTTGTCATTTTTTTCTCTGGCAGACCAGTTGCCATCGAAGGCCTGTCTTGCTATTATGGGGAGAAGAAGAGGATTAATAACTTTCCCAAGGGTATTAGCGCGTAAGTGAATTTCATTCAGTTATGTGCCATGCATGATACTCGCTTAGACGATTATGTATCTTTTTATACATGAGTGACGAGGCAGATTTTTTCCCGTAGTAGGTTGCCA